TTAGAAGATGAAATGAAGTTAATGAATTTTTTACTCAAATTTTCTCCAAGCAAAAGATGGAAGAAATAGAAATGATATTTCAAGCTTCAAACAAGAAGCCCATGAGACGTTTCAAGAAGAGTTGGAGAGATTTAAGGGATTGTGCGAGAGTGTCCACACCATGGATTTACAAAAACAACTATCTTGGAATTTCCATACCGATATATATCAAAAGAAATTTTTCGATTGGGGCTAGACATGGATATTGAGGGAAACTTTGACACCAATGATGTGGTGCAAGGAGAAAAACTGGTGAAATTCTCTACACAAACTAATGCTTGCTATGCAAATAAGGAAGAGAAATCTGATACGGAGCATATTGTGGAAAAAATAGAGAGATCAAGCTTATGCATATAAAAGCATATTGACGTTAATTTTCAAACAGATAATGCATATGATTAGATTATCTCATCTTTCAACATGACAACAACATGCATCGACAGTACACAAGCCATAAAAGTAACCGTGGTTTTTACAAAAATCTATGCAGCCTTTGTTTCCTTTAGTACGACATGTTTGTGTTCCAGGGAAGCATTGAACATCCATTTGGTATACTCCATAACCTATATATAAACAAGAATAATTAAACCAATATGTTTATTCATCAAAAAGACAAAATTATGTATATACTTATAAAGTGGGAGTATAAGAACAAACCAATACCCAGAGTATTTGCGGTTGTTGTACGACAATGAACAGAAGAAATGATGATGAGGACAGTGTAGAAAAATGCGACTAAAATTTTCATGGTAATACCCATTTTTTGATATTCTCTTAATTTTTTTATGAATTTTGATTTGTTTATAATAATTATATAGTAACACAAACACATATAAAAATAGTAAAATATTATTTTTCTAATTAGAGATGAATGAATAATAACAATCTTTTGATTTATTTCCTTGTAAATATATATATAGTCAACAAAATATAATGATTGCTTACCAAATTACGTTTTAACATTGGTGAGATAATGTATATGCTGTTATATATATTTAATATGCAATTTTTTTCCTCCATATTTAGTTAATTTTAAATAAAATTTGCAGTTAGCTCGAAATTAATGATAAAGGTTTGTTGATATTCCCGTCATACACAAAAATTTTGTTCAAAAAATATTTGGTTTCAGAAAGAATGTTCTTACATATTTTAATGGACTTTTCAAATCAATTTTTAGTTTATCTTTTATTCAAAACTAATAAACAAGTAATTTCGTTCTACACCATTTTACAGTTTAGAGCATCTCCAATGTATTACACCATATTTTACACCAAAATGGTGTAACAATAAAATGATATTGGGTTTTACTCTAATGTATTATACCATTTTTTACACAAAAAAATATTCTAAGTATATTTTTTAGAGTAGACATGGTTTGTCGCGTGAAAAGGTTATACCTCCTATTTAGGTATTGATGTGGGCACTCTTTATTGGATTGTGAAATTTACCTTCAACAAAGTTCAAAAGAAAAAAAAAATTACCTCCAACAATACAATAAATTTCTATATACAACAGTCGGAAAACATTTTCTTTTTAATTAATTGACAAACTATCCAAAAACTTAAAACAAATTTACAAAATGTCAAAAATTCAGTTTATTGAACTATACAAATTGATAAGCTAAAATTATTTCACAACCCTCACGAGAATTACAAGTTGATAAGTTAAAATTATTTCACAATCCTCGTAACATACTTCCTAGACAATTTTCATTATAAAAAAACCTCAGTGTCTTTTTAGGTTTAAAAAAGGAATAAAGT